TTCTTTCTTTTTTGTGGTAAGGTTGGCTACTGGTTTATCAATTTTATTTACTGTTTCAAAGAACCAAGTCTTTGTTTCATTAATTCTTTGTAGTGTTTTCTTCATCTCCATTGCATTAATTTCTGCCCTGATCTTGATAATTTTCTCCCTTGTTTGGGCTTTGTGCTTCACTTGTTCTTTTATTGCTAAAAGTTTGAGGTGCAGCAGTAGGCTATTTATTTGTTCTTCTTCTGTTTTCCTCATGTGTTGAGTTTACCCATGTAAACTTCGCTCTGAGGACTGCTTTCAGTGCATCCAGCAGATTCCAGTAAGTTGTATTGACATTCTCATTTTTTTGTAGATACTGTTTAATTTCTTCTTAAATTTTATGTGTGACCCATTAGTTGTTGAGGAGGCTATTATTTACCATCTATGTGTTTATGGAGGTTTTGTGGTTCTTTTTGTCATTAATTTTGAATTTCATTGCACTATGGTCAGATAGTATGCATGGGATAATTTCAGTTCCTTTGCATTTACTTAAGCATATTCTATGGACTAGTATGTGGTCTATGTTAGAGAACATCCCAGGTGCAGCTGAGAAGAATGTGTATTCTGGTGTTATTTGGTGGAACACTCTGTAAACATCTACTAAGTTCATTTGTTCACAAGTTTTGTTAGAAACAAAAACACAAATGACGCTTCTTATGTCATTTGTGTTGATTCCTGCTGTTTGTTGATGCCTATTAGTCTTACATTGTTTCTCTTTGCATCATCTTACAGCTCTTGAATTGTTATCTCGTGGTTCCTTGTAAGTTTTAAGAGATCTTTCCTTTCACGCTTGTTAACTGCAATACTGTCTTCAAGATCTGAAAGTCTATCATTGGCTTCATTCAAGTGGTTTTGTAAGCTTTCCATGGAGGTTTTAATTTCCTGGATATCTTTATGAATCTGTTTCATGCATTCCAGTTCTTTCCTACATTGTTCATTTAACGTTTACGTTATTCTTCTGGGCTTATCTATTTTTTTATATATGTCCTCCTTAGATGTGCTGAGCAATTCTTTCATTAGTGTTGACATTTCATTTTTTACCTGAGAAGTTATTTCTGATCTGATTTCTTCAATGGCCTAATAGAGTTGTTTCTTTACTTCAGTTGCAGTCATTTCAGAGATTTTGGGTGTTTGACTTCTGGGTCCCCCCTGTCAATGTCTTGGTCCTATTAAATATATTACTTTAAATATTTAAAATAAACATTTAGTGATACATTCTAAATGTTGGCATGCATGTCCTCTGACTTGTAGAATATGCTTCCAATGATATTTTTAGTTTTGACAGCCTTTATGATATTAACTTTGGTTTATGTGGTAGTGGTGCTGAGGCTCCCATGGGTCCCTACTGATGTTACCTGAAGCTCTGGAAGGTGTCTCCCTTGACCAGGGTATCTCTCAGAGGTGAAAAGTAATTGAGACCCACACAAATGAAGTGGTTTTCTAAAACAGGACCCTTGTATCTGGTTCACTGTTATGGGCTATGATCCTTCACTTTGAAATCTTTTGTTC